GACGGACCGCCGCCGTACCTGCTGCTGCGATATGAAGAGAATAAGGCCGGGGAGGAGACCCTTTCGTCCCCGGGGTGTGACCCTCGCCCCCCCCCCCCTCCACCACCACTGCAAATCTCAGAGAAAGACGGAAGGGGGCGCAAGTGTCTGTGATTGGCCTTGGTGGCGAAAATAAGTGCCTCTCTAGAGGAGTTTAGAGTTGACTGATTAAAAAGGTATTCTTAGACGGCCCCTTCTACTCGGAGATTACAGTCCGAGTTCTCCAGTAGGTAGGTTCGTTCCAGTTTTTTTTCTTACTGTCACAAATCCTAGAAACTGTTCGGATTTTCTGGCGTAAATCCTCGTGCATTTATTGTGCATAAAAATGCAGGATTTTGAGCAGTTTACGCACAATTTCATACTATTCGTGTGTGTATAGTTATGAGTTCGGTCATAATTTTTCATTAAAATCGTGAGTACTTACGTCTGCCTAAAATTCTGTTTTAACGCACGACAAAATGCACCAGGGGTTTAGTGTGTTCTAATAGGTTTTATGGTCGTCGACTGAATATTATGGTCTGTCGCAGACTTGAGTCACACATTTTGGTGTCGAGCCTGAGGTAATACTCGGCCCGACTGTTGTGTTGCATCGCATGGGCGGTGTGTGTCTCTGTCCCGCCCGGGCGGCTCCGGGTTCGGCTCTGTCGCGTCTATTTGCGCAACACTCTTTCCAGCTCGTTCAGTACTCCCCTCTCCTCCCCTGCCTGCGACATCTCCTCCGCTGCCTGCCGTTTCGTTTTCAGATTCTGTTTGGCCCCTTTCTGTTTGAATACCCCTTGATGGCAGCAAAAGGGCATGCTGTTGTACGGCGCGGCGCGGCATCGCAAAGATATCCATCCATCCATCCATCCAACCAACCAACCAACCAACCAACCAACCAACCAACCAACCAACCATCCAACCATCCAACCATCCATCCATCCACCCAACCATCCATCCATCCATCCATCCATCCATCCACCCATCCATCCGTCCCCAAAATTTTATTTTGGGCTGCTCAAAAACATTGGTTTATGCTCGGTTGTTGTTGCTGTCGTGACCTCTGGGCCTCTGGGCTGTACCTCATGAGTTTGCTTGACCATCGCCCCTTCAGACATGGCTAATGGCATGGAAATACTCTAATCACTTCGGTGGCGCTGGCGCTGCGCTGGAGGGGTGGGACGCTAAGTCCGGGCCTCGGTCCGGCCGGTTGTCTCGTAATCTCCCTCAGGTCCGGCGGGGGGCGGCCGAAGTGTGAACTACTTGATAAGTGGCCGGCGCTGGGATTAAGCGCCATAGGGAGGGACGCGCTGCGGGGGTGGTGGCGCGGCCGTCACCGAGTACACTGCATTTGGGCTCATTTAACTTCAATGGGGTAGTTAAGGTCCGGCCGACTGGATGCTTGTGTGTATACTCCGTCCACTCGTTAGATAGTCGGCAACCCGCACGCGTACGCAGTGCCGTGTAACTACGAATGGGCGTGCAAATCAGCCCCCAGAAAGTCGTGGGCAACGACTAGCAAAACAAAAAATTATTCGGGACTGTCTAAAAACATATTTAAACGGCCTTTTCAAAGTATACAAATCCACATAAATCAGTAAAATTTTACCTCTTGCCAATATTGTATAACTAATTACCCGAAGATGATCAAAAGATTCTGCACTGGCTCGTCGTCACGGCCTCCGCCCCAACCCCTCACCTCACAGCTTGTGGAACCTCCCTCTCTCCCTCCCCAGACAAGCCGCCGCCGCCAGCGCCACCACCCCACGCTGGGTTTGTTTTTGCAGAATTACCATGGTTGATGTCTCGTACTACACTACACTATCTGCGTCGCGGATTCGCCAGCACGTCTCTCTGAGCGTCTCGGGAGGGCCGTTGCGCGCCCCCGCGCTCTGCCCACGAGCTCTGCTGGAGCGGATTAGGCAGCGGGGGGTTGTGTCTGCAGAGGGGTGTGACGCCGGGCGGGCCTGGGCCGGCGGCAGCAGGGTGTGATCTGTTGGTCAGCGCTCCGCCACCGTCGTTAGCTATGCACAAAGCTTGACCCCCCCCCCTCCCTCCCACTCTCCACTCTGCGTGAGTTAGAACCCTCCCGGACATCACATTACCAACACCTCCCATTTAGCCGCATCATATACACTCCGCCAGATTAAATCCACGTCGCCATGGATAACCGTTTTTGACGCGGACAAAGAACCAAATATTAGACATGCAAGGGCACTCTGTGAAATTGTGCTCTAATTTGTCCACCAAGCGTATATCACTGTGGTCGATATGTTCTCTACGGTTTCCATTTAGGCTGCCTTCCTTGTAGCGTGGCGAAAGATTTTCTCGGCATGACTCATAGTGGAAATACGGGGCGACGACAGAGAGGCGCGAGGGAAGGGAGAAGCTCAAGGAGGGGGGGCACAGCAGGAGGGGGAGGGGGGCAAAATCGAGTGTCGCGTGCGCCGGTCCACGTACCGCATTCCTTTCCCCTCGGGAGCCAGCACACACTCACGCACACACACACTCACACACACACGGACGCAACACAAGTCTCGGCCTCGAGCCGACAAAGGTTCGCACCTTGGCGTCAATGAGACCCTCATAAAAGGGTTTGTGGCGTGTGGCACCCGCGTGGCGGCGGCGCCGAGCTGCGGCGCTGAGGCTACCGTCGTCCAAGTAGGCGTCGCGTCCGCGTCGCGTACGGTCCGGTCCGGAGTCGCGCTGCCGCCGTCAGTTATGATGATATGGCCCTTTATGATCGAAATCATCATGTGGTCATATTCGGCTGCTTCGGCGCTGCTGCCAGGATGGTGTGGTTGGGTCAGAGAAAGAAATCGGGCAGGGATATATAAACGTGACGTGGCTCTTGGGGCTCTTGGGCCCCCGCGAGTTTATGGCCGTGGTGGTGCACGGAGTAAGCTGCTGCCGCCGCTGCCGCCGCACGACCTCGCACGCCTGCGGACTACCTTTTTATTATTTTTGTTTTTTTATCCGCATGATTTTTTATAAGCTTGTACTTGATTCTTCTTCTTCTTCTTCTTCTTCTTCTTCTTCTTCTTCTTCTTCTTCTTCTTCTTCTTCTTCTTCTTCTTCTTCTTCTTCTTCTTCTTGTGGA